TAGTTTGAGCGCCAATCTCTTTCTCATTTTTCTTTGATATCTGATCACATGACAGATAAGATATGTTAAGCTGCTGCTATTAGCGCGGATGACATAATAAACGTGACCATCACGTGACGAAAGCCTAGAACGATTACAAAGAACATCAGTCAGCGCCTCATGGCTACTGCATGTTAGATCAGTCAGCGCCTCATGGCTGAACTTCAGAAACATATATATAGAGAACCATCATGTACATATTTTCTTCAGTTGTTGATTACTTCTTAATTCGATTACTTTGACGCTACTTGTTTGATTTAAGCCATTATCCCTCCGTTAGCTCGGTATAGGGGATAGAGGTTTTACAGGGCGCATGCAGAATTTAGAGATGATGGTCCAGATGGCCATGAACACCACAATCCAGGACAACAATGCAGAGTGGGAAAGGCAATTCCTGCAAAGAGACACAGAAGTTGCAGGCTTGCGGTGTCATGCACCAAAATTGATTGGTAGCATGGACAGATGTCAATAACAAAGCAAATATTCAAAAAGACTCGCCTTTGCACCACACAGGCACAGTGCCACGTGGAATAGTAATTAATATTGCCTTTCTCAAACTTGTGGCTGATCAGCACCACCTCTATTAGGCAATCCAGTCACGCTCACCTTTGTTTTTCCATCTGGTACTTTCCGTGTTTCGGCATTTCGGCAAATTTTTGCGTTGCCACTGGCTACACATTGCATTGCTGCAACAACCAAGAGTTAGTTACTCTGGCGCACACAGGAACACACTATAAAGGTGGTGGAAGACGGGGAGTGGGTACCCCTTGGGCTGCAGTGAGTTAGTTGGTATACAACAGGAGGACTCGCTGAGGAGTCTCCTAGATCTATTGGGGTATATATACTACTACAGGTTTGTTTGTATATGTGTACTATACAGTTTGATGAAGGCAGTGGCTGATGATGTCATAGGGCCTAGCCCGTATGGCCAGCTCCACTGCGTGAGAGAGTTAAGTCTAAAAGTAAAAGAAAGGCATCGCGGCGCGAGAAAGGGAAATGCCGCGTGGCGCTTAAAGTATAAAGTTAAAGCGGAGAATAAAAAGGAAAGGAGATGTCCGGAAATTGTGTTATCGTAACACTACCCCCCTTCTAAGGCTCAACTTCCAGGCGAGACCAAATACCGGAGGTAGTAGTGAAATTTTCGGGCATTGGTTGAAAAAGGGAATTAAAAAGTTTGGAATCCATGCCTCTAAGCTTCCTGGGAGCCGAGGGATTCCTAGAATAAAATTCGCGAACAGCGTCGCGGGAGTTTTCCAGATGAGTTTCTGGTTCCCACGTTCTGTCCTCGTCTCCATAGCCCTTCCATAGGACCAGGAACTCTAATTTACCACGCTTCAAGCGTGCATCTACCACTCGTTCGACTTCGAACTCCTCTTCACCTTCCTGGGTGACTATCACCGGACCGGGCCGGTCTACGCGCTGTCCTGGCAGCGGTCCCTTGTAGGGTTTTACACGGCTAATGTTTACCGTGGGTACCACCCTCATCCGTTTTGGAAGTTCCAGCTCCACCGCATTAGGCTTGACTTCCTTAATCCGGTAAGGGCCAATCCATTTCTCGGTCAGTTTTCTAGACTGCCGGTCTTTTAACTTTAAATGGTCGGTGTCTAACCAGACCAGGTCGCCGACCTTGTAGTCAGGGGCTTTAGAGCGTCTACGCTCTGCCCTGTTTTTCATCTGCTCTGCAGTTTTAAATAGCGCCTTGCGCGTTTCGTCTAAGACAGACTTCATGTCTTTTGCCATGTTCCCAGCAGCCTTGTTTTTGCTTTTGCCAGGTTCTACACCCATTCTAGGGAGGTACGATCTAGTAACCTCAAATGGTGCCTTGCCTGTAGCCGACGACTGTTTAATATTGTACGAGAACTGGGCTATCTTCAGCCACTTGGCCCAATCCGTCTGTCTGTCATTAATAAATATACGGAGATACTGCTTTAACTCCTGGTTAAGTCTCTCCGTTTGTCCATCGGTTTGCGGATGGAACGCCGTGGATAATTTAGGTTTGATGCCCAGCATCCGGCATAATTCTTTCGTAAATTCGCTAGCGAATTGCGGTCCTCTATCGGAGATTACCGTTTCTGGTAACCCATGGTTTGACCACACGAAGTCCTCAAATAGGTCTGCCGTACCGGCGGCGGTGATGGTTTTGTTGGTGGGTATGAATACCACTTCTTTGGAGAAGCGGTCTACTACCACCATTACTGAATCGTACCCGTTTGACTCGGGCAGATCCGTTGTGAAGTCCACCGATATATCCTGCCAGGGGCCAGCTGGTATCGGGTTCGGCATGAGTTTACCGGCCGGCGGTTGATGGGAATTTTTGGCCATGGCACATCTTAAACAGGATTTTACGTATTCCTGTACGTCTTTGACCATGCCAGGCCACATGTAGTTTCTGGAGATCAACTCCATTGTTCGTTGCCATCCAGGGTGCCCAGCCACTGGAGTGTCATGATGTCTATCTATGGTCTTGATCCTTACGGATTCAGGTACATAGATTTTGTCTTTAAAATGAAAGAACCCGTCTTTCCATAAATAGTTTTCATTGCCGTCAAGGCGCGCCTTTTCCTCTGGGGAGATGTCTTTCCTGAAGACTTCTAGAAGATCAGAATCCTGCCCGATTCTAACATTGGCAACCCTTGATTGATCTATCAGGGTGACACCTTTGTTGTCATCTTCAATGCCGTTGGCATGATCCTCTCTTCTAGATAAAGCATCTGCTTTCCCCATTGAGCTTCCTGGTTTATGAATTAATTTATAATTGAACCTTGACAAGTACACTGCGTAGCGGGCCTGTCTCCGGTTCAGGTCTCGAGCCGTCATGAAGTACTCTAGGTTCTTATGATCGGTCCAAATTTCGAATTGGTGCCTAGCACCTTCTAAGTAGTGCCGCCAGTGCTCTAAAGCTCTAATGATGGCCAGCATTTCCTTGTCATAAATTTGATAGTTGCGCTCTGTAGGCGACAAACTATGTGATAAATAGGCACAAGGCCTCCAAAGATCATCAGGACATTTTACTGATAAAACAGCCCCAGTGGCGAAGTCAGAAGAGTCGGTCTCTAACCGGAACTCTTTGTCTAACTCAGGGAATGCCAATATGGGCGCGGTTGTGAATGCCTGTTTAAGCTTATCGAAAGCTTCTTGTTCTTTGGCGCCCCAATGCCAGACAAGGTCCTTTTTGGTGAGATCGTTCAACGGTCTCGTGATTTTTGCGAAGTTTTCAATAAACCTTCGGTAGAAATTACCTAAGCCTAGGAAGGCCCTTACTCCTTTGACGCGAGTAGGTTCTGGCCATTCCAAAATAGCTTGAACTTTCTCAGGGTTCATCCTGATTCCGTTCTGGCCTATGATCATACCGAGAAAGTCTACTTCCTTCACTTTAAAATTACATTTTTCGGGTTTAACGAATAGGTCCCGTTCCTGTAAGCGTCGAAGGACTTCTTGCACGATCCTGTCATGCTCAGCCTCTTCGTCCGACTTTGTAAATATTAATAAATCGACAATGTAAATGACGACACAGTTTTCCATATCCGCAAAGATCTCGTTCATCATGCTCTGGAAGGTCGCCGGTGAATTGGTCAACCCAAAGAACATGACAAGGGGTTCAAAAGATCCTCGGTGGCACGTGAACGCGGCCTTCCAAGCATCTTCCTCTTTGATTCGTACGTTATTGTACCCCCATCTGAGATCCATCTTTGTCAGGATTTTGGCGCCAGCCAATTTGTCCACTAGCTGACTAATCAAAGGCAGCGGATACGCATTTTTAACCGTGTGCTCATTCACGTAACGATAGTCCATAATCATTCGCTTTTTACCATCCTTTTTAGGAATGAAGAACACCGGGGACGTCATAGGACTTTTGGAAGGTCTGATGTAACCCTTCCTAAGTTGTTCATCTATGAAACTAGACACCTCATCTCTTTCGGGAGCAGAGAGCGGTATCATATGTCCTTTTCTTGGTTTAAAGGTGTCCTTCAAATCTATAGCATGGTCCCAAGGTTTAGCCTCTGGGAAGCGTTCTGATTTGTGTTTAGAAAAGACTTTCCAGAAGTCGTGGTACTCGGGAGGTACCAGCCTCTTAATCTCTTCCTCAGGTTTTACCTCATCATCGTCATCGTCGATCTTTTCTAAAGATCTGAGCTCGTAAACGTGACTAGCGTTTAACTTTTCGAGACGCTCATTGTGACGGACATGATTTGGTTTACCCAAGTTTACACATTCCTGGGGACAACGTGACAATGTGACAACCCCTGTCTGCCAGTTGATTTCAGGATTGTGTTTAAATAGCCAGGTCCAGCCTAAGATTAAATTAATCTTCCCTAGTTGGGTAGCCTCGGCAGTGACTCATTCTCTGTGTCCTTGGTATTCGACCACAAAAGAACATTTGTGTGTGATACAGCCACCTGCGTTAAGCGTACCGTCAACGTTATAGACAGGAATAGACGTTTCTAATTTAACAAGGGGGAGTCCAATTTGCTCCGCCCAGACCTGATCTATGAAGATCCCGTTAGCGCCTGAATCAAGTAGTGCACTCGTTGAGTGTACTTTGCCCCTGGCAAGGTTTTCCACGCCAACGTCTAAACGGATCTCCTTTTGGAATAAATACGTGCGCATCAACACACGCCTTGGGATTTTGGGAAAGGGTGGCTCCGAAGAAGAAGAAATAGAAGGGGAAGGGGAAAATGATACATGTTTTTCTACTTTTGTTTTACCAGAATCAAGCACCCTAGTGTTTGTCTCGCCGGGGCCACGCTCCAATGGAGACGCCGGTGCAGCGGTAGTATCATAAATATTACAGTCGCATTTCTTTATACAAGTACATACTTCTGATAACAAATTTAGAAATCTATTTACAAATTGGGGAGCCATCCCCGTCATTCCTTTATTGCTCGTGCAACACCCCGGAGCAGGGGCCACTTTGTTGTGGTTTACTTCATTTTTACCAGGAGCTAAGGCACCCAAGTGACCTAAGCCCCGAATTCTTTTCCCTGAGCCTTCATTTTGTTGACCTGTTGGTCGTAGAAAAAGGCCCGGATTTCGTCGTAAGAACGACCGGCCAAAGAGTGGAGCCGATCGTCCGGTTTTTCGGATTCTAATTGGTGCACCTAGCGCCTTTGGTTATTTTTTTGTTGGGCAGCCTGTGCCCCTTTTCTGCAATCTCGGGACATGTGTCCCTCTTGGCCGCAATTATAGCAGGCCCCTTTAAATCTGCGCATCTGTCCTCCCTGGACCGCGCCGATATCCATTGGGGCTCCCTGCCCTGGTTGCAGCCCAAACGGCCTAAACCCGTGAGAGTGATTTTGATGTTGGTTTGATGACCCAGGGCGCCTCTGGGGTGTGGTGGTTTGTTTGGTGGACCCGCCACCTTGGTGCATAGCGTAGAGCTCCATGGCCCTACCGACTCGTCGGACTTCCTCGGCCGCCAGAGCCAGGTTGTCACTTCTTGTATCCTGCAGGTAGATCTGCTCTGCAATGCGAGGGTTCACATTGCGTTCCAGCAGTTCTACTGCGTGTTCGTTACCTAACCCTCCTTGGATGGAGAGGGCCAGGAACCGGGTAACGTAATCATCCGTCCTCATGTTTCCTTGTTTGAAGGAACGGATTTGCTGCCGAGCCCAGTCACGCTCAGCTTGCGGTTTGAAATATTTTTCGATCTCAATTTTGAGATCGTCCCAGGTAGGCCACACTCCCGCGGTGTAGCACTCCTGGAGTCGTACTTGGGCGTATCGACCCGCCACAGGTCCTTTTAGTCGAGATAGCACCGCAGTGGCTACCTCAAAATCGTCAGCAAACGCATCCCAGTTTGCTTTGACCCAAATTTGGAGCTTGATCCACCATTCGGCGAATCGCGCTCGGTCCCCTTCGAAGGCGCCGGGGTCAGCGACGACTTCGACTTTCTTGTTGAATTTCTTTTCTACCGAGGGGGTTGCTACAGGGGGGTTGGCCTGTATCTCGGCGAGCTGCGAGGTTAATGCAGCTATCTGCGTACGCATTGCGTGCAGTAGCGCATTCATGTCTTGGGGTTGCGACGACATGTCGACTTGTTCTCTTTGTGTAATGTAAAAATAGGTAACTGGGGGTCCCCGCTTGCTATCTGCGGATCAACCTCTTCCCAGCTGAGTATCGGATCTCAATCTCCGACTACCCACACTATAGTATTTAAAAATGTATATAAAATGTAAATGTAATAAACCCTGGTCCGAACGGTTGTCAGGGGGTGGCCTGCTTGTTAAGCTGTCAGCCCTTCTCCAGACTGGCGGAGGCAAGTGCCCGGCCTGGTCAGAGGTATTCGAAGAAGAAGTTTTGTATTCTAAAACTAATCAACAGTGGTTCCACACCAACTGCTGAGCTAAGTACTCCCCTTAACGCTGGGGGCCGCGTATCCAAAGGTTTTGGGTTCTTCTCCCAAAGCACTACAAGGCCGTCGCTAGGAGCGCACCTATCTGCTATGTGGGATATTCCTAACCGCTAACCAATCTCCTTCACCCTGGAGTCCGGGTGCCCAAATGATGGGACTTCTGCACACACGTGCGAGAGAGTAATGAGAGCGAGTCCTAATGTAACAACCAAGAGTTAGTTACTCTGGCGCACACAGGAACACACTATAAAGGTGGTGGAAGACGGGGAGTGGGTACCCCTTGGGCTGCAGTGAGTTAGTTGGTATACAACAGGAGGACTCGCTGAGGAGTCTCCTAGATCTATTGGGGTATATATACTACTACAGGTTTGTTTGTATATGTGTACTATACAGTTTGATGAAGGCAGTGGCTGATGATGTCATAGGGCCTAGCCCGTATGGCCAGCTCCACTGCGTGAGAGAGTTAAGTCTAAAAGTAAAAGAAAGGCATCGCGGCGCGAGAAAGGGAAATGCCGCGTGGCGCTTAAAGTATAAAGTTAAAGCGGAGAATAAAAAGGAAAGGAGATGTCCGGAAATTGTGTTATCGTAACAATTGCACCCTTGCTTTTGTCGTTTCCCTTACTCCCCTTCCTTTGCCTAGCCCCACCATGGGCCCCTTCCTCTCCTTTTTATTCTCACCTGATGGTCATTTCTGGATCCCCATTCTAATCCACTTTTTTGTCACCTCCACCCTCCTCCTCCTCATCTTATTTGCACCCCCACCATTTCTGATGTCACCACTTCCTATCCGCTTCCATCGCCGATCCGTCAACTACCATGTGCCACTGCTGATATCAGCAAAGCCCTAGCGGCCAGTCCAAATAGGGCAACAGGTCCATCTTCATGACGTCAATCTGCCATCATATACTATCAAAACATCGGTTGCTCGTCTTGCCTGGTTGGAGCGTGGGTGGGTAGTTTTTGAGCTGGAGAAGGTTCATCCCCTTGCGTCACCCATGTTCATCGCTGTCCCATTCACTTGGGTACACTTATCTTTTGTCCATCGTCTTTGCTACAGCTACACCTACCACACGCTACGTGGGACTCACTTGTTCCAAATTGGAACTACTCCTCTCCCTCCCTTGTTTGATCAGGTGGTCCAACACAACCAGTCTATTGGTAAGGCCATGGAACTGTCGGATTTGGACTAAGTGGTGGATCGGTGGCTCCAGTTTCTTTTTCTTCAGCAGAACATTCATTTGCAGTGCAGTTATTTTTGATTTTTGAATCATTTTATGGACACATATTTTTTTAGAATGCCTGACTGACAATAAAGGAACTGTGTTGATACTGATAATGTTTTGCCTTGCCCTTTTTTTACTGCATCTTCCCATGACATCATGATTTTCCTGCTCTCTTTTTGCTATTGGACTTTACTTTATGGCTGTACAAACCTGTGACATTACTCACAGCATTTATTGTTCTATCCCTTTCTTTCCCTTATTTTGACAATCTTATCCTGTAGCAACTACGCAGGATTTGTCAGCGTACATTCCTTCCTTCATGTTCTTTCTCATTCTTTTTGCGCAGCTATACTGTGCATAGCCTACCTTTCTTTTCACTATATAAACCCCTGTATTTTACCTTGTAAAAAAAACAAAGAACTCAAATCCAGACTTCTTCTCTACTCTCAAGTTCACTACTCTGCTACTTGTGATCCAGTGTGGTCACAACACTTCCCACTTCTACCACTGTTAACTGCTGTCATTGTCACTTCCAACTTTTGAAGTCATTGTCATCCCTTTCGATTAGAGTCCTTCTGAGCACTACAGTTTGTGCGTCAGGAGCCTGCTATCACTGGGAACCTTGTCATTCTCAAACCTACCTTGTGCTACAATTAGCAAGGTAGTGCTCATCTATACTCGTCATTAAGCCCCCATCCTCTATAAATTCAACTATCCCTCCTCCTCAAAACCCACACCCATACATCTCTGAGTTTTACTTTGGAGGATCTTCATACATACCCCCCACGAACAACCAGAGCACCCACCGTTCTAGGAGGCAAAGCCCATAAACAAGTTCCGTGGAATCTGGGAGGATTGTTTGTTAGTTTGTTTTTGTGTGTGGTTTTCTAACAACGGTTCTCATCATCGACAACGTGATCCATAATCACCACCAAGGGAAAAATTGGTCATTCCCAGGAAGTTCTTGCCCCCAGAGGGCCACCAAAGCTACCTGGATGGTCCCCAGGGCTATTCTGGGACCCTCCCAGGAACTTCTGCGGCCACACTCAAGAGAGCCCCTCTGTTCCTTACTTCTGAGCGGCTATTATCAAGACACCCACCTTTACCAAACGTGCTTCCCTTGTGTGCTTCTTTGTACCATTCCACCGGTATCAATTAGTAAGTGCTAAGCCATCAGATCGTATCTGCAAAGAAGGTTGACAATGACTCACAATTGCTCAGGAGATTTTCAAGTGTATAACTTCAAAAACTTGTGGGGATTGAGTCTCATGGCAGGCCTAGGTGAGCTATTAAGTAGTATGCTATATATTTTTATAGAGTTCATGTTGTCAAATAAAAATTACGCTATCTGACTATTTCCTCCATTGCCCAGCCCTTCTTGCCGATACTGAAAGCCAACTCGATAATCTTTGTTTCGTTAGCATAGGCCCTGACAGGTATCTCCTCTGTTGGAGGTTTCCAGGCTCAATTCAGCCTCCAGCATATCTTAAGATGGCATTTGCGGTTGATTGCAAGATCTTGTCAAGACAGTGCTATTTAACTACTCAAGGAGACAACAGCATGTTTGAAGGTTATCCAGACATACACAGCACTGTTGCATCTTGCTGGCTTGAACCAATGGAAGATCAGTGTGGGCTTAGAGCGTGGCAGTGTCTTTTGCACTGTCTTCACGAGGTTTCACTGAGTCTCAGTGAGGGGACATGTACCTCTGAGCTGATCTCAAGGCCTATTGCAATTGGACCTGATGAAACAGAACTGATACAAGTCTCGTCGAGACTCTATGATGATAATGATGTGAGTGTCTTTTTTTTGAGAAATATAAGGCTAATTAAATTTTCATGTGTTTGGCTAGCATTCCCTCGCAAATGAGTTCCCAATATTCAATTTATGTGGGGACCAAAGGCCACCAGAAACGTTTGATGACATCCCGATTGGCCTGCCTGTCAAGGTGTGTTTCACACTACTACATGGTCCAGGTATACATGGGAAACCGACTTATTCGAGAACATTTCCTGTCTATTTGTGAGGCTCAATACAGTCAGTTGCGCACTCTTCTGCAAAATGCAGTTTCATGATGACTGTTCTTACTTATTTATTTCTAGTATAGCCTAGTCACTCTGTATTTTATATTACATGATCTACATATATTTCACTGTGATGTTTAGAAGGTCGCCGAAGTGTTTGAGTAATAGTGTACTAGCTGTCTTAGCAAAGCTTCAGCCAGTTTGAAATAGAAATTTAAATAAAAAGGAGAGTGCTCACCACTCCTATTCTCCAGTTTTGTCAACAACGGACTACAGCCCAACTACCTAGTAAAAGCATGTCAGTCTTCGAGCCAATGGTTGTCAGAGGTGTGATTAAAAACACCTTGACTGCTGGTGAATGTGTAAAGTTTGAGACTAATTGGAATGAATCTGTGAGTTGTTTTGTCATACAATCCAGTTAAAGATAAGAACTTACTTGAAATGAAGGTGAAACAATGTGTCAGAGCATGGGAAGGTAGTCATTCAACCCCAGCCAGTGAATTTCAAATGGCCCAGTACGAATGGGAGGCCCATGTGGTCGAGTATGTGGACTTTGTCAGTTCGGCAACATCTGTTCACCCCAACAGCAAGAGTGGGTCAGTTCCACCAAATCTGAAGAGTAGCATACCTTTTTATGGCCCTCAATTTACACCTCCAACATTTTTGCAACTAGAAAAACGTAAACATCTTCCAAATGTGAAGCCTGGAACTGCTTACATGAAGGAGATAACCATTGTCCACCCCTTCTATTTTGACGGCCTTGATCAATGCCCGAGGTGTCAGTCTCTGGATGTGAAGTGGGGAGGATGGACTTCCACA